CTGTCGTCATGGAGCTCATCTTTTATATCCTGGAAAACATCGCATAGAGGAGGACTTCCTTTTCTCTGCTCAGACAAGTTGCAGCAGCAGTCATATCCAAATCATTTGCACTTTAAAACTGGAAGATTAAGCTTTTGTTAGCACTATTGGTAGGGAGGGTACGGGGTGGGAGTAGGGTTTAGGGGGAAGGGTAGGGAGGGTGGTTGGGGGACAGATGTTCCATGATTTTAAGTCTTCTATGCATTCTCCAAGAAGACCCGGGCAGCTTCTTACTGCACAACAGTTACGCTATCTTTGCAGCTAACCCCCTTCTGTTCCTGTCTAGACAAGAAGTCTGCTCCTCTCTTAATGGTCATGTGCTCAGAAATGCTCAAATGGGTACAACCATCTCCAAGATCAGGGTGGGGGGGCAGAAAAAAAATAAACAATGAAGCGTCATTTTTGCACTTCCTGTATAGAATTGGCATAAAAGAATGTTACACTGCTACACTTACCATCCTGGTTACACCCCAGCTGCTTACCAAGGACGTTTAGATTATTTGTTCAGGCTACTGAAGGAATCAAACCAAAGCAGTTCCTTGTTTACTGGCCATGGAATGGTAACTCAGTATAAGCCAGGCAGTTTGGATAGCAGAGTTGAGTGCTGAGTCACTCACTGTCTGCCTAAGTGAATGGCAAGGTAGTAAAATGAGCCTTTCGTGAGAGCCGGCAAAGAACACCCAAGGCATTTTTATTTACTGTACACTAGAAATATTTTTAAAGAGCATTTTACTAAGAAATTGCTTAAACTCCCAGGAAAGTTGTAAATATAAAAAGAAAAAACCTGTGTCCTCTCTTATACAGCCTTACGTACTCATGCCCACACTGACGCTTGCCTCGCTTGACTTGAGGGGTCTCGTCTTTCTCCCTCCTCTGTAATATTGAAGTGTATACGACAGAGTCCCTTCACCTCTACAGTAAATGTTATTCCTTGCCCAAATAGGACGTTAGTTGAGGTCACTGTGACTGGCTTTAACGTCACTCCTGCCCAGCAATGTCCTGGGAACCTTTCCTCAATGGCGTGCTTTCCAGCTGGGGTCAGGCACTGCACATAGCTCTTAGACTGGATTTGTTTCTTTTGGCAAGCAGATTTTTTGAGTATAGGCCCTCACATCCTGAACTTCTGTTTTGTTTTAGAAGAACATGTCATTTGAGTTGGTTGTCTTGACAATGGTACTCATTTTATTGCATCCTCAGCCTGATCACTTGATGTCCTTCTGCCTCTCAGAGATGGTGGCAAATTTCACTATCACCTATGCAGTATGTCTAGTTTCCCTACTATGTATTTCCCTCTTAATGACCGATATATGTAGAGGCGCTTTTCAGACTGTGCCAATGTCTGCTCCTCAGATTGTCCCTTAGATTTATTTACACCACGGATGCTTCTTGCCTGCACTGATCTTTTACTATGACAGCTGCAAGATGGTTTTCTAATTCCAGCATGCCCTTTCTTTGCCAGCTGAACTTCAAAACTATAAACAAACCAGCCCTCCCTTCCTCCCTGTTATTCTTTTAGTTTTCATGTTGGTTTTGTGGAGTTCTACTTTCTTAGTTTGGTACTTTGGTGAGCTCATCTTTGGCTAAGTTGAGCACCTTCAAGCTGGCTCCTGCATCCTTTCATGACACATTTATTTTTAATCCTTCCTGTATAGCCTAACAAGATGCTCTAGACTAATCTTGCACTTACCTGCCAGGTTTGGAATCACTTTATCTCTGAGTAGCCCTTTAATTGGAATAGTACAGGATACCAAGGTCTGGTTCTGATTTTATCTTTGTTAAATTTATTTTGATCACAGGCCAAATGCACCTCTGTTTGAAATACACTGCTCTAGGGCAACTGACGCTAGTGTCCATGGTATCTTCCCAAGTCCAGGCCACACCGGATCTCGTCCCTTTACAGCCCTGGGTTCAAACGCAGGCCTCTGTGGCAGTAGGAGGCTGCCCCTCTCCAGAGCTGGTAGACCTGTTTGGGGAAGTAGCTGTTTTCTAAAGGCCCTAAGGCCTGGCCTGGCCTATCTGTCTGACTGTGACTGTCTCTCTGCTGGGTGAAGATTACACTCCACACCCTTTTCTCCCAAGGTTTGGCTGAGGGAAACTATAGAACTGGGAACATTACCTTTCTCTTAGATGTAGGTACAAAGCCTTAGAAGTGACCTGTGGCCCTGACCAGCACTGATTTCATGTAAGAAAAGAGCCCTTGAACCGGCCCTGAACCTGTAACAGGAAGTACCTAACAGAGAGGCGTATTTGGTGTTAATATTGAGCTTAGTCTGAATATACCTCATAAGATGGGTGCTTCTACAGCACTGCCCCATCCTCCTGCTCAGCTAACTGCACCCTGCTGTTGGACATGGATCTCCTAGAATATGCAAGCGTTTTTTGTTTGGTTTTTCAAGACAGAGTTTCTTTATGTAACTGCCCTGGCAATTCTGGAACTCACTCTGTAGACCAGACTGGCCTCAAAATCAGAGATCCGCCTGCCTCTGCCTCCTGAGTGCTGGGATTAAAGGTGTGCGCTATTCATGCCCAGCTCACATACAAGGTTTTTGACCCCTCCCCCACAAAGGACAGATTCTGGAGCCATAAAAACAGGTCCATTCTTAACTCATAAAATATCCTTTGTGTGTAGTAAAATCATCCTAGAAAATCGGGCTTAAGCCATCAAGGATGCTTACTCTTTTCTCCTTTTTAACTTTGGTTTTATATGATATGTACTGTAATTTATATTATAAAGTGCTGAAGCAGCACATTCCTAGTCAGGCAGGGTTTTCTAGATTTAACCTGAAAGATAAATGCAGAGCTTTTACACAAAGAGCAGAATTGCATCCTGGTAATTTATTGTTTTTAAAAATTGTATGCTTACCAAGTGTATTTGTAAGCATATATTGCATAATGTATTTCCTGAATTTTAGAGACAGGCTCTCTTGTAGCCTAGGCTGGCCTCAAACCCTCAATCTAGTCAAAGATGACATTCAATTCCTGATGCTCCTGCCTCCTCCTCCTCCCAAGTGCTGGGATTATAGGAATATGCCACTATATCTGGTACTCTATTTCCTCATCAGCTCTTTCTCAAGCCCTCCTGCACTCAAGGTGACAGAATGATGGGATTGTCTACGGTCCCATCTGCCTTCTCCATCTACACTGGGTCCTGCTGGTGGGCCCCAAATTCCAATTAGACTTCTCTTTGGTCACCTGAAAGACAATTATGCACTTAATGTATTTATAACAGTAGCTTCTATTTTACTGATACTAAAATTAAATAATGGTGATGGGATTTTTAAGAGTCGTATACATAGGACTGTATGAATAGAGCAGGAATCTATAGGAATAGAGCAGGACGCTGAGCCCATCTTGGAGGCCAGGCATCTAAAGCCCAATTCATCCTCAACACATTAGGAATAAGAGCAGGTACATGCTTCCTGGGATTACCAGCCCCAGCCCTGTGGTTTGATTCAAACTCAAAACAGCTGACCTAACTTAGTGCCAAGATCTTTTAAGGAAAGCCACACATATTTGTGTGTGTGTGTGGGGGGGTGACCCTTAAGTACGAGGAGGGCAACCATATACGTTCTAGACTGGTGCTACATAAAGTAAAAAAATTCGTACAGTCTTTGCCTTTCATGAGCAAAACTTCCTGACTCTAAAATTCCGTATTTTATTCAGTTCAGGAATTCAAAAGACATTCAGTGCAATATTTAGAAATGATTTTGGTTGTGGCTGGTTCTCAGTTATATCCATGAATAATGTTTGGTAACTGTGGCTGACTAAATCTTACATAAACGAGGCTTTATGCAGGCCCCTCCCCCTCCCCATGCATTCCTTGGCTACAACAAAGACCTTTTAAGTCTCTAAGTCCAGTGGGTGGCTTTGTCAGGCCTCCCTCAGCCTTGAGGTAGTTTTTCCAAAAAGCAGAGCGATAAAGTGGACTGAAAGTGAACAAGCTGTAAGGGCAATCCCTGAAGTCTCAGAACACTACAGTAGAGGGAAGAAATGCAAAATGCCTAGGACTGATAGGGATCACGGAGAATAACTCCAGGGGCTCTATTTTAGCAAGCACTGAGTCAGATGCAGGCTGAAAGCAAAGTGCAGTGGGACCAAGAACTCTTCAGACCACCTCTCTCTGCTCTGGGTTCCTTCATAAAGGCAGAGTTCATTCCAATTCTCTGCTGGACATACAATGTGACTATAATTGTTAAATCTCTTATGTATACAAGATTGGGAGCTCACATCTGCTAGGTAGGATTGGCCAGAGAGCTCTGGGGGAAGTCACTTGTCAGCAGTTTCTCCCTTGTTATCCACTAACGATTTTGATACACTCTTCAAGGGCTGGGAAGCATGGTCCAGCCTGGTTATCTACAATAGACACACAAAAGCTCACCCCTGGGCTGTGCTTATGCAATACTGTAGTGACCAGCAGCTGAATGTACTTCCTACTTCCTTCTCTTAGAGCCTTCACAAATTATCCTGAGGAAGCCGGGCATGGTAGCTCATGCCTGTAATCCCAGCACTAGGGAAGCTGAGGCAGGAGTTCAAGACCAGCCTGGACTATAGCGTGAAACCTGCCTCATTCAATCAAAATAACAAATAAATAAATAAGTATATTTGGAGGAATACTTTGTTGAGGTTAATGCTTTAAACCAGGGGAAAGAGTTGGGGTGGTGACTTCTGAGAAATCTAGAATAATGTATTTTGAATATTAACTCCGTTGCAACTATCTGACCCTTCATTTCATCTGTTCACCACGAAAGCTATAGAACTTGGACAAACAGGGAACAGCCAAGAGATCAGCTCAAGGACAGGCCTTCTCAAAAGAGGAATGCACAGGTACAGCAGAACTACTGCTTTGGCTTTTAAAGTGACAGGGAATAGGGCATTTGAAGACTTGATAGTAAATTAACACTGTTTAGAATATAAAGTCCTTACAGTGAATTAGACCTAGTTTTAAAATAAAAACAGCCACATAAAACTATTTTTTTTTCTTTTCTTCCCAGTTAACATCTTAGGTACATGGACCAAAGCGAAGAAAGCCTTCCCCTTCCCACCAATAGTACCAAAGTAATGTTCCTGTTCCCCAGTCCCCTGGGAATCAGAAAGGCTAGTGCAGCAGGTGTTAGGGTCAAAGGCACAGGCAGAGGGGAAAACAGCTGTAGTCCCGGAATCCTGCCCCTCCCCTAAGCAGGGAAGGTTCCGATCACCCTCATGTTCTCCATCCCTTACAGTCACATCTTTGAAAGGCACATCCAGAAATGGTGCAACCGGGGGCTGGGTTAGACTGTACATCATCGCTATGCAGAGGTTAAGGGGCAGTAGGACTCTGGCACAGAGCAATGGGGGTATCCTTGTCTTCACCCACATTCTGGTGGCAGGAGGCTGTACATATGCTCCATGGAGGCCCAGGCGAGGTGGCGCAAGGACAGCCCAGGCCACGGTTAGTTCGGCGGTCTTTGGTGCTTGTGTAGCAGCAGCTCTCACTACAGAGGCTCTTGCAGCCGCAGAGCTGGGTCAGTGAGCTGGTACCAGTGCCCACCACCTCACAAGGCAAAAACACAAAGAAAAGCATCCGAGCTTAAAAGGTTTCTGAAGAACATTAACACAAGATCTGTTTCTGCCCCGAGTCTTCAGAAATAACCCACAAGCACTTCCCAACAGTTTTAGTCTCCTTCAGAGAGACTAAATGCTTTCTCCCCAGAAATGACTGAAAAAGTTTTAATAGAGAGAAAAATCCAGTGGATCAGAGGGCTACTCACCTCACAGGCCCCTAGGCTCCAGGACCAGCCAGTTCTCGGTGACCATCTGCACATCCTGGCCGCTCAAAGGCTCCCGCAGCCTCACCTTAACCTCCAGCTTCCCCCCGGTGGGCTTTCTTCCATCCAGAACCTGTGACAGCCACAGAAATAGACTAATTGAGGGGACAGTCTGAGGCAGGTAGCAGATGCATCAGGACAACCCTGCCTTCCTTTCACCTGCAATATGGGAAGTGGTGGACTGCTAACTCTCAGGGTATCTTAGAAATCAGTAATCTAGAAATCTAGATACATATCAGTGCTCTAACTGAAGAAACCTGTAGCTCTATTCTGCTTTTCCTTTTGATCTTCATAACTCCTAGAATTAGCACTGGCTTCCAGGAGCAGTCTGAAGCCCAGAGCCCACACCCTCATGCATGGCCCACAGAAGTGGATGGTTGGGTAGCAGTCACAGGTACAACTCAGGCTATGCCCTCCTCTAAGGCAGATAAATAGTTGAATACAAAGTACAGCAACAAGCTTGAGAAATTCAACCACCCTTAGGGCAATTCAGACTAGGCCCCACTTTAGGAAAACTCCAGGTGGGGTGAGGCAAGCTCTAGCCTCCAAAAGCCTCAGTAAGGGTCTGTCTGGACCTGGATCTGCAAAGGACATAGAAAGCCTCTTCTCCGCTGGCTTGTTCCCCATTTGTCAAAGGCAGGTTCTTAAAACTCTTCAGCTGTACAACCCTGTCATGGAAGCTTAAGGAGTTACCTGCCCAGTTTTCAATCACCATTTGCATATTATCTAGAAATACTCTACCCACTTCCTGTTTGGAGTTTGTTCTCTGCCTCCTGCTATTTGCCCACTGCCCCAAGCACAACACAGCCCTATACCATGCTGGGCAATGGTTGGAATACTCAAGGGTCTTCTCTCAACTGTCACTCCTAGGAGCTTAAGTAGTCCTAGGCTATGGAAAGAATATGGCTATTTCCATCTGGCTACCTTTGAAAGTTAATCAGACTTTCTTTACATCTTCCATGACAAGGGGATACAACCCATTCCAAAGCACACTAGACACAATTTTAAAATGTGCATAGAACCCTCAATAGAGTTCCAAGAATATCAGCTCCTTCTGGGCCCTACCTCCATTATTTCTCTGATCTCACACTCATTCTCCAGCCTTTCCAATTTCAGGTGTGCTGTGCCAACCAGCTTGTCACTTCTAAAAAAGGATCTGGGAAGGCAAGAAGCAGCAGAGGATTAGCCTGGGCAGAGTGGGCAGGAATGAACTGGTTGCATTCAATGCAAGCAAACAGTGGTATGGGGAGCAGCAGGAACAGGCCTGCCATTCCTCCCCTCCTACCTTCCTTGTGGGATTGATAGCTCTTACCCTTTGTGGAAGATCTCAAATTTGATTCCTTTGCTCTGGATCACCCTCTTAAAGCCCCGGTGATTTCGATTGATGTTTAGTTTGAAAACTTGTTCAAATTCTGCAAGGAGAGGGTTGGAATTCTTGGGAAAGTGGAAAAAGAAGCCCAGGACAGGTGTCTTCTCTGGAGCTCACTGCCTACAATTCAGGGTATTGGCCACCAGAGAAAGGCAGAGCATGTAAGGTTTTGGCCTTGTAAACACTTTGGTACCCAGAGACACAAATTATATATTGGAAAGTACTTGGAATCTGGAGTGAGAATTCCTAGATTCATGTTCCATCACCCCCACCCCCACCCTACTCATTGTGTAGCCCTGGCTGGCCTAGAACTCAATCTATTAACCACACTGGCATTAACCTTGCTGCAATTCTGCCTCTGCTTCCCAAGTGCTGGGATTACAGATGTAAGCCACCACACACCCAGTCTTCAAGTCCATTTTTAACACTTGCTTGCTGTGAGCCCCCAGACAAATCCCTTTACTCAACTAGTCACAAGCCTCAGTTTTTGTATTGCTATTTCTTAGATTTTCATTAATTTTTTTTCAGGTGTGTTGGTGCACACCTTTAATCCCAGCACTCAGGAAGCGGAGGTAGGTGGACCTTTCTGAGTTCCAGGCCAGGCAGAGCTACAAGTTATACACTGAGATACTGTCTCAAAAAAATTTAAAAAGACCTTTATTAGTTTTCATAGTGTGTGTGTGCTGGTGACCAAGAGTGCCAGAGGCATCATATCCCTCTAGAGCTAGGTACTGGTGTTTGTGCAACCCCTGATGTGGGTGCTGGGCATCAGAAGCAGGGCCTCCACTATATATATATACATATATGTTAGTTTTATGTGCAATGGTGATTTGACTGTATATATACCTATGTGAGAGTGTGCGGGTGCTGGATTCCCTGCAATTGGAGTTACAGACAGTTTTGAGCTGCCCTGTGGGTGCTGGGAGTTGAACCCTAGTTCTCTGGAAAAGCAACCAGTGCTCTTAACTGCTGAGCCATCTCTCCAGCCCAAGAGCAGTATATTCTTAACCACTGAGCTCTCTCCAGCTCTAGGCTTCAGTTTTCACAACTATATAAAGGAACTATTAATAATAGCTGCCTTTATTTTTGAGTTGGGTGGGCCAAGTAAGACAGTAGCTATTACAACACTGGAAACTGTGCTATCCAGATAGGAAGTGAGTGCAGAAATGGGTCCTGTATGTCACTCACCTGGAGAGTTTGTATTCTTTACCACGGCTGTTTTGCTTTTTTGAGCCTGGTCCTACAGCAGCGAGATGAGAGAAGTTAAGATAGCTCAAAAAACAGGTGTGCAGCTACAGTACTTTGGCTGAGTCAGTGGAAAGGAAAGCAACCCCTGCAGATGGACCAGAAAGTCTTCAACCCATCCCTATGGCCATGCCTCTTAAAGAAGGAGAGAAACTAAATAGTATTGGGGTTCAGAGAGTCCCTAACCCTATCAGAACCTCACCGAGTTAGGGTAGTGAAACTCAAAGCGTACAAATGCATCCAAGTCATCGGGAGTCACTCCTATAAAGAAAAATGGAGTCAGATTGGAAAGGACGGTCAGAGCCTGGTGCCCAGGCAGCAGGTAGGATATGTGAACAACATCCTTCAGTAAGATGACTCTTGGCTACCTGGTGGGGCCGGGAGGTTCATTCCCCGGACGATGATCAGATGCATTTCTGTGCTGTTAAGTTCTGAGAAGATCCTACACACCGGAATGAAGAAAGTGCAGAGTAAAAGACAGTAGCAGGACAAGGGCCACAGTGGTGCGGAGTGGAGTGGTGATGGCAGTCACTGGTCTCTGAGGCCTGCTCTTAGCCATTCCTATGGCACAGCACATCCACCTCCCCCCTCTAGTATCCGTGGTACTGGGAAGTCTCACTAGAGACTCAAGAGCCTCCAGGCTCTGTTCCAAGCCTTTTGCCCTATCCCTGCACAGAGCCACAGTTTCCCTCAGGCTTTGGCACCTCACAGTCTGGAATGTCTTCAACTCAAAGTGATGGCTGGGAGGGTCAAGACCCTGGGCCTGGGCTAGCTGCAGGATCTCAAGCTGTTTCTTTCGGTCCTGAGCAAGCTTCTCAAACCTGCCAGGGACAGGTAACCAAGTCAGCAAGGTAGGATTTGTTATCTGGTCCCTAACCCAACAAGCCCAGCACAGCCCTGACACTTACCGGGTAGTCTCAGCCACATTGCCCTGGTGCATGAACTGCTTGGAGAACAGCAGGCACTTCTAGAAACAGGAGCCCAGAGTGACTCCATAGCCAGAGCAGGGCTTGCCAAGGCTAGCATTCAAGGCCTAACCTCTCAAAGCTCCTAACAATCATCTTTAGTGTCACCTCTCCTATAAAACATATTCCTGGGGCACTTTTCCTAAGGCCTAACACACTTTCCTGCTTACAAGTCTGTCAGTTGAGACAGGGTCTCGGATACAGAGCCCCACTAGAACTCATGGCAGTTCTCCTGCCTCACCCTCCCAAGTGCTGGTCCTGCAGGAATGTGTCACCCTCCATGCTGGTCCCATCTATACCCTGGTGCTTCCTCTGAGAAGACCATATCCCAAAAATTCATTTGGTAAACTCCTTCCTTCAAAACGTAATCCATGTGGGTGTGGTGACAGTGTATAATTTCAGCATTAGGAAGCGGAGGCAGAAGGACTTAGAGGTTAAAGTCAGCCTGGCATCCATAAGGAGTTCTAGGACAGCATGGCATATCGCAAGATCCTGCCTCAAAGATCAACACTATCAAAAAACAAATTTAAGCATATACCTTAGAACTCTCTTCTCAGAAAAGGCAGCACTTCAGGTCAGCTCTCTCACAAAACCCATTCCCCTTCACTCTGCTGTTTGAATTTCATAACTAAACAAAGAGAGGGGCTGGGGAGATAGATGGCTCACTGGTTAAGAGCACTGGCTACTCTTGCAGGGGACCTGCACCTGGTTTCCAGCACCTAAACACTGGCTCACAAGCACCTGTAACTCCAGTTTCAAGGAATCCAATATCTTCTGATTTCCATGGGCACAGGTACATATGTGATATATATACACATATGCGTAGGCAAAGCTTACTTACATGTTTAAAAAAACTAAAGTAAAATTTAAAAGGGTAGCTTCATTTTGTAAATGAGGAAAATAGCTTGTCCAGGGTCATACCTTGGGCCAGTGAGAAGAGTTAAACTCTGAACCCATGCTAGGACACAGACAAGCAGAGACAGGGGCTACTGACCTCATGCTGCTCCAGGAGTATTTTCTGTAGCTGGACATACACCTCCTCAGCCTTCTGGGAGAGCCGCAGATCCTCATGGTGAATGAGGATGAAGTCACCCTCTTCATCCGTCAAGGGTGAAGGCACCTGCCAGACCATAAGGCCCCTCGGGCCCAAGAGTTAATTACACCTCTCCTGCCATGTCACCTCTGACCCCAGGTAACCCATATTTCTTTTCCCTTCTTTCTCCCAATGGTCTATCTCAGGGAGAAAAGCAAAGGCTCTTTCCCTGATGTCACCATTTTACACAAGTCCTACCTCTACCTAGAAGCCGCCCCTTCATGCCCATCAACCAGCTCCCACCGCTGCCTGAGGGAGACTCCTGGGTCAGTAGGTGGGACTCACCTTGGAGAGGTCAATGGGTTGACCTGCTCGGGCTTGGTTGATCTGGACCTCGAGATTTTTAGCCACTCGTAAATGGGATTTGGCCTGCTCTAGATCTTGTCTGCGCTTGGCTTGTAGGGCTGCTCGTTGGTATTGCAGTTTCCGAGCCTCCAGCAGTGCCAGTTGCTCCCGAGCTAAGGAAGAGGGCCAATGGCTAGGGCCACGCCTCTCTCACTGGACCACCACTCCTCTGTCCTGTTTGTCCCTAACTCACCAGGTGGACTCAGTGATTCCTTAGAACTTGAGGCCTTGGGCTCAGTCACAGGATGAGATGAAGGGGCCAGAGGATGCGCTGGCTTCTTGGCCACTGGAGCCTGTGCTGGGGTGTCACTCTATAGGTACCAACCAGTTAGGATGTTATCAAAGTTATCAAATTGTTAACATTCCCTGCCCTGGCCTAGACTTTGGCTACCTCCGTAATGCTGCACCTGTTTAGAGGCTTTGCCTCCAGAGTCATAAAATTCAAAGAGAACCTCAAAAGCTTTCTAGCCTAACTCCCCCAACAGCAAGCATCACAGTCATAAAGAGAGACTTGGGTTTAGGGTCAGAAATACCCAGGTCTGAATTCAAGTTCTGCCTCTAGCAAAGCTTTTCTCTAGACTAGAGGAAAGGATCTCTATTTTAAAGGTTAATATTACAGCAGGGTCTGGGTTTATTCCTTATCTGCTGGACTCCTGACTAAACCCTGAAGTCCTGGGCCCATAGCCAAACCTCCTCGTCTTCATCTGCCAGGACTGTATCTTGTGAGGCCAGTTTTTGGGCAGATGCCAAAGTTGCTGCCATTGAATCCTCCTCGGCACCTTTACTGGGCTCCAGGCCAGGGATGGGAGGAAATCCTGAGAAGACAGAATGGAGAGGGAGCAAGGCAGCAGCAAGCAGTAAGGAGACATGAGGCAGCTGTGGGTCTTGCCTGGCTCTGGGATGGGTAACTCACACAAGGTGGAGGCACATAAATGAGAAATCTCTTTCTCCCTCCCTTCTTGCTGAGAAATCACATAAGTTCCTAGGCCAAACAGCACTCACCTGGAGGAACAGGTAACTCAGCAAAGTCAACTTTCTGCCCTGCTTGATGAGCTCGAACAGCATCCTGATATTGCTACATGGGAAGGAAGGGAATTTCAGCAGCCTGTAACCTGCAGGCTCCAAGCCCTCATTGCAGACGCAGAGAGAGAAGACAGGGAAAGGCTGCAGCCCTAGAAGAAAAGGGGTCCCGAGGCAGCAAGACCTCTATAAACAGACAAGGACTCAAAGAAGACCAGGGCTTGTAGGGAAAGTGCACAAGGCAGGACAGAGCCAGGACAGGCCAGCATAGGATAGGGGCTGCACAGCCACGGGCTCACCTTGGCAATGCGCTCATGCATCCTGGCCTTGCGCTCATTCCCACTGGCCCGGGCCTGGATGCCTGCCTCACGGTACCTGTTCAGCCTTTGCTGTAAAGCATCCAGCACTGTTTTTGGCTCTGCAGGGGCCACTATAATGGGGTTAAAAAGAGACTATCAGCTCATTCTGTCTCTTCCCAGGCCCCCATTCCACTGCCCCACTGTAAAGTCCTACCTGGGGTGGCTGGGAGGTCAGAGGCCATCACTTTCTGTACTTGCTCCACTGCTGGGGACAGGACTCGGGTTGCTGTGAGGGCCTCAGAAGCCTGTGGGAGGGCCTTCAGATCTGGGGACCCAGAGTAGCAGGGTAGGCAGAGTGTCTGGCCAACCCCACACCTCACAGTCCTCCCTAATCCAGCCTAAGCAGATACCCCATTATCTGACTGACCATCAGGTGCTGGGGGCATGCCACTCAGATCCACAGGCTGCCCTTTCTCCAGGGCCTCCAGGACAGTACCAAATCTCTGTAGAAGAAAAGCAATTACAGGCATAAGCCAGGGCACCCTAGGAGCCTGGCCTGAAACAACTTCAAGCAGGGCACTCTCCCCCAGGTTTTGCCTGGTTCCTCTCAGCCTCTGCATCCCCATCAATGGTATGAAGGCAGGATGTTGTACCTTCCCAATCCTCATGAGCTCCCGGGCACGATCGAGATCTCCAGCTCGTTTGGCATTGAGAGCAGCTACTTTGTACTCTCTCTGTCGGGCTAACAACAGGGCCTGTGGGGCTGGGTCTGCAACAGGCAGAGGAGCAATGGCAGAGCTGCCTGGGAGGCTGGGCTCAGGTTGGAAAAGGTGCTCTACACAAAACAAAAGAACCCAGAGAACTTGGCTAGTGGGGCAAAGGAGGAAGTTCCAGAATCAATCCCACCCCAAGTCTTGCTGGTCTAGGAATTCTTGGAGCAACGACAGGGAGGCAGGTGGGGTAGGCAGGCTATGGGAACCAGACAGACTATCTTCAGATACCTGGCTCCAGGGCACATGGAGCTGGGAAGTCTGCCTCAGGGCTCCTGTTGGCTGTTTCCTGGTGGGGTGGGGGCCTTTTGCCCAAGGCCACTGGAGGTGGAATCTCATTCTCACTGATCGTCCCGCCTTTCCTCACAGTGGCAAGCTGGGACTCCAAAGTCTGAAGGAAAGAATTATACTAGTAGCCCAAGTGGCTACCTGGGGCTTGCTGGAGGACAAGTCAGTGACCCAGCATGTTTACCACACCTGTGAATGGCCCGTCCTTTACTGTCACCTCACCCACTGCCCTGCTGTCTCCAAGTCGGCCTCACACACAGCCTGACTCACCTTCAGGCCCCGATCACAGCGCCGGGCTTTGGCAGCTTCACCAGCCTCCTTGGCACTGGCTGCGGCCTCCCGGTAGTTATGAATCCGTTCCTCCAGCAAAGCCTGCAGCCCCCGAGGCCCTCCAGCCTGCAGATACTTCAGCTCAGGGCTGGGCCACTCCATAGCCAGCTAGGCCCTTGCCATTCTCTCCCTGTGAGGAAGCTACCCCAGAAGACGGATCTCTGGGACTCCGGGAGAAAGAGGTGCCTAAACCCCCAGAGTATGAGACAAAGTCCACAAGAGAAGCCAGACATTATATCAGGCAAACAGAGGCTCCCCCAGTCAGTAGAGGCCAAGAAATGATTTCCAGAAGTGGCTGGAACAGGAAGGCCTTTGGAGTCTGCCAGTTATGGCAGTTCCTCACGCCGGCTTTCCATGTGAGGAGCTGGTAGTTACTGGGCAGCTCTGCTGTGTAAGCCATGCCACATGCATACTGTTCACAGATAGACGGGGCCAAGACACATGCAGGCCCTTCTGTAAAACCTACCTGAGGCACTGCAGGTAGAGCCTGTTGGAAGGCTGTCTGCATTGCAGGTTGCTCAGTGATGTCCTGTGCCCTCTCCTCAGACAAGTCTGGGCTTGTTGCCTCACTGCCATCTAGCAGCCCAGTTTCTTCATCCGCACCCAGGACTTCCTGTAGCTCTGTCTGGGGAAACACAGTCCAAGAACTTGGGTATCTCATGGCCATACTCATGTCTGGAAGAAAGTTAAAGGACCTGCTTCCCCAGCAGTATCTGTCAGTGAAATCCTGAGCTCAGTCCTGTTTACCAACAGCTCTCTAATCAAAAAGACTATGAGAAAAACAGAGAATTCCAAACTGCAGCACTCAGACCAGAAGTCAAAGGACACAAACCTCTTACTGTATAGCCACAAGGCCAGACCTGGGAAGGGAAGGGGGCTCACTCAGTCTGACGAAGAGGAAAAAACCCCAGCCCCTCAATAGCTCTCTCCTCTACCACACCAGAGCTTGATCCTTGGATACCAGCATGGCAAACACACCAGCAGGTCTGCATCTTCCTCCAGCCCTTCCTCTTCCTCTCCCTCCTCCTCCACATCTCGCATACAGTCTGCTGCCAACTTCTCAATGTGGTCCATGGGTAGGGGGGCTGAGGAAAGAGAGTGACTCAGGTAAGGTGCTAGACGTTGAAAGAGGATCTTTAATTCACTGGACTGGTAACCACCCCAGGCAGAAATCCCCCATCCCTTCCACAGCGAAGTCCCACTCAGAAAGGGACTCTTCTTTCATGACCCTTGCTCTGCATGCCTTCCTGGGATCCCCAACGAGTAACACGCTGCTCCTTTCCCTGCATTTCTGTTTGCAGGTAAATGCACCTATTACACACTGCCCCACCACGCCTTTCACAGTGGTAAATGGTTTCAAGATCCACTCAAGTTACTTACTACTTCCAGTTCTGTAAGATGGGTAACATTATCCTCATTTTCTTGTTCCTTCCCTTTTGTTTGTTTTTTGAGATAGGGTTTGTTTGTGTAGCCTGTCCTGGAATTCACTCTGTAGACCAGCCTGGCCTCGAACTCAGATTCCCCTGCCTCTGCCTCCCATGTGCTAGGATTAAAGGAGTGTGCCACCACCACCTGGCCAACATTATCCTCATTTTTTATACTGAATAAATTAAGACGCACCAACATCCATTTCCTCAAATTCACAATCTTAGTAAGTGGCAATATTCAAAGCCAGGCTTGTCTTAAAAAAGCAGGGCTAGGATATGGAGCCCTTCCCAGTCATGCCGCTGGCGTTAGCTCAAAGGCATACAGGCTGCCTCTGAGGGTTACTGCTAAGAGGAATATTCAGACCTGTATTCTCATATCTAAAGGAGATTTCATATACTCAGTGACATCATTTTTGTCAGTTTACTATGTACACAATCTGTCTGTGCTCATGGCCCTACTGTATACACAGTCCTACCAATGTAGGACTAGCACTAGTCACCTGAGTTAGGCTGAGAATCAGATTTGTCCGAAGAGGGGAAGAAGTTCCAAATACAGGTAAATCACTGACCTCTCTGTGGCTGAACTACAGGAAGGATGTAATCATCAAAAGAATTAGAGGAGTTGGCTGTCTGACTCCTTCAGACTGTGAGCAAAGAACCCACTCTCTCCCACATGGGCCTGCACCAGCCCAGGAGTAAAAACTCACCAGATCGCTTGGGTGCTGGCTTCCTGCTTGTGCTCCCTGTTTCCCCAGTGAGAGCCAACAGCTCAGCCTCCAGGTCTCCATCATCTTCAGTCTCATCCACCCCCAGAAGCATGTCTTCAGTGTTGAACTCCACGAAAAGCCCCAGCTAAGAACAGAGAGAGATTTTTAAAAAAGAGTTTATTTATTTTGTGTTTTCAAGACAGGGAATCTCTGTATAGCCCTGGCTGTGCTGGAACTCACTTTGTAGACCAAGCTGGCCTCAAACTCAGGGATCTGCCTGCCTCTGCCTCCCAAGTGCTGAGATTAAAGGCGTGCATCCCCTGGCATAGAGATTTTTTAATTTTATTTGTAAGAATGTTTTGCCTGCATGTATGGATGTGTACCACGTATCTGGTGCCTGCGTAGGTCAGAAGCCACATTCCCTGAAATTGAAGTTATAGATTGTTTTAAGCTACCCTGAGGGAGCTGGAAAACCACACCCAAGTGTTCTTAGTAGAAAAGCCATGTTTCCAGCCTCAGAGAAAGATTCTCAAGAATCACATTATTGGTTCAGTACTAGAGTGCTTCTTCCTCTTCCAGAAGAGTCATGTTCAGTCTCTGGCACCGCACTAGGTGACTTGTAATTGCCGACAACTACACACATGTGGCATACATTCACACATACATACACTGAGATAATTTTTTAAATCACACAATGAACCAGAACACAAGGGGTTAAGACAGGAGAACCATCCCAAGTCCAAGACCAATCTGATCTACATAGTGAGTTCCAGGCTAGAACCGAAGACCATCCACAAAATAAACAGCAAGAAAGACTCACACAATGGGGTCAGGTGTGGTGGCACATGTATCCATTTCAGCACCTGGGAGGTGTACGCAGGGTGATCAGGGGTTCAAGGATAACCTGGGCTATACTGAGATCTTACCAAAAAAAAAAAAAAATCACAGCCGGGCAGTGGTGGCTTTAATCCCAGCACTTGGGAGGCAGGTGAATCTCTTTGAGTTCAAGGCCAACCTGATCTACAAGAGCTAGCTCAGGCTCTAAAACTACAGAGAAAACCTGTCTCGGAAAAAAAAAATCACATAACAAAATTATGTGTAGTGGGCTCATGCTTCTGATCCCAGCACTGGAGGAGGTGAGGCAGGAAACCTGCCTGGGGTACATGGTAAGCTCACAGTCAGCCTAGGCAACTTGAGAGAGAACTTGTGTCAAAAGAAAAATAGGGCTGGGACTACAGTTCAGTAGAAGGACACTTGCCTAGAACTCTCAAGGCCCTGAGTTCCATCCCCACTCACTCTGAGGCCCAATGTGAAGATAGGTAAGCAGGTCGAAACACGGAGAATTTTTTTTAAAGAAACCAGTAAGACAACAGTGCCCTGTTCTGGTTAACAGTAACAGCAACAGTCGGTGGCCACACCATGTTACTCATGACTTATATTAGTTCTTCTCACCATCCTGAGATCCTACCACACACACACTTCATCTTTTTTGGGAAGAGGGGGTAACTTGAGACAAGCTTTCACTGTATAACCTAGAACTCACACTCTTCCTGGGGATTATACACGTGTATCACATTTATTTAACTGTGTAAACACATAGCATGAAATCTGCCACTTTACCTATTTTCAAACGAGAAGTTAAATGCTAATATACATTCCCATTGTTATGCAACCATCACCACTATCCATTCACAGACTTTATGTGCCTGTTAAATACTGACATATCTTCCGCTCTCCACCTTGTTCTCCGTGTCCCTTATTCAGATATTCCAGGCAACACAGGTACTAGTTTACCCCAGTGGTCAGTGATAGCTGAAACTTTCTAGGCATTTATGCACTTTACCCCAACCCAACTCTGACCTGATTTTTTATTTGTCTGTTCTAATTTGTTAAGTCTTTTTATATGTATGATGGTTTTTGCCCACATGTATGTATATGCGGTGTGGGTGCAGTGCCCATGGAGGTCAAAAGAGGGTGTTAAATCCCCTAGAACTGGAGTTACATGTGGTTGTGAGCCATCCATTGGGTGTAGGGAACTCCATCTCACTCTGCAAAAACAGCAATCGAGCTCCGCCACTTCTCTAGCCACCAGCTGCTCTGTTGTTTGCTTCCAGGCTGATCTGAAATCTGAGGCCCACAATGACCTTGAATTCATGACCTTCCTACCTCTACCCACAATGTACCGGGTTTTTTAATGTGGACCACCAAGCCTAGCCTGCTTCTAGAAGACAATAAAAATAGACTAAGACTCAGAAGAAATACTGGAAGAACACATGGAAGATATACCTTCTTCAGACCCACTCACTAGAGTCTGTCCCTGTTGGTGGGCAGCAACTGACTCCCATTTGCTACAGCCCTAAAATCCTGGCATTCTATAGCTAGCCAGCAAAGTTGGCACCTGTGAGAACACTTAGGTCTGAGGACAATCTAAGCCTCGGTAGCTCCTTAATTCTCAAGTTATTTATGTGATATGGCCACAACAGGATGGCTGAGTGAAAACCAAGAAAGGTCAGGCTCTGGTCACTAAACTCTAAGGACTGCACCACCTAGAAGCACTGCCTGTCCTCTATGGACTAACAGGAACACCACACAGGTGACTCAATTCGTCACAAGTGACTAGAGAGCCCCACCCCAAGTTAAGAGGCCATGTCCATACCTGCTTAGCAGTTGCAGCACCCTGGCCTCTGGTCTTAGGGCCCTTCCGAGGTCTTGACCCTGGCATCTTGGCAGACTAGATACCTATTAGGCATAAAGTTGAAGAGACAGACTGGAGTATATGAGACATGGCCCCAACAGTGATTAAGGAGCAAATTTCTTCAGGTAAAATGCCACTTTGTAACTAAAGAACAGAGGCAAGAGGCTGGGTACCACGGTCAACAGTGTGTACATGACAGTTACTGAACTGACTGATGGACATGGGGAAAAATCGATGGAAGCAATGCTAGCCCCAAGTGCTCCGTCGCGGTACATGGCTAATGGGTACCACTAGGCAACCCAGACACAGATCGCTTTCATCGTCCCAGTTTCCTGCGCGACACTCTGCGCCTGACTCAGCATCCAGATCCTCTGAAAGATGTCACAAGTGGTCAACGGGTACTGTGGCACGACCCGCCAGGACTCATCTGCTCCCACTTCAGTCTTCAAGGAAACAGACCCATGGGCACACGACCATCACAGGGCTACTGCGGGAGCCATGGGTGCCAGAGGGGGCCCTTACCCAGGAGATCAAAAAAGGCATCTTAGAAAGGATGATGCCTGTGCTGAGTCACAAAGTTTGGAGGCTGGGGAAGAGCAGAATTCCAAGCAAATCAAACAGACACCAGTTCTAAAATGAGAAATTACTTGGCCTACACAAGGAAAAGGAAGGCCCGGCATCACTGAGGCATGAACCAAACCGGGAGACTAGAATGGAGACGTGAACCAGGGGCGAAACGGAAACACCTTTAAGGCTCTAAAGGTATTCGGGCGTTATCCTGACAGCAGTGGGAAGCATCATGGGCTGCAAAAGGTGCACGGGGAAGTGGGAGATGATACAGGGCGGGAAAACTTGGCCCTGGGCATCAGGCAAGCCTGCGAAGGAGCGTGGGATGGCGTGGGGACTGAGACTCAGAGTGGAGCTGGAGTCGACAGAGCTGCGAGGTTCGCTGGGTGAGAGCGCCCAAGCGCTCGTCACTCCAAGTGTCAGATTTCGACTCCGGTGAAGAGCGAGGGGTCAGCTGGGGCGGGATGCGGGGGTGAAGCAGCTCGGGAGAATGAGGCGTTGCACTGTCGCTGGGGTGCCGCAGGCTGGTCGGGGCTCAGGAGAGGCGCGTCCTCGCCGGACTCCCCACACCCGCGCGTCCTCCCACTGCCAGGCCCGGCCCGGCCCGGCCCAGGCGACCTCCATCTCCCCGGCCGCCCCCAGACTCCACACGCCGAGAGACGGGCACGTGGCATACCTCGCGGCGGATCCGAACCAAAACCGGGCCTCCCAGAGCCCGGAACCGCCAGGCTTCCCGCGGCCCCTGGGCGGCGGCCGAGACAGCCACAGGA